TTAATTTATGGCTATGTGGACCTCAGTATTTGGAAAACTAAAAATAACGAATCACTCGGAATGAAAAATGTTATGACTATTACCGAGTTTTATGCTTTCTTTACATCTCCTTCTTTTACTTGTACCGGGTAAACGCAAGGGGTTTCGTACTCAATTCAAGGAAGGGAAACGGGTGGAAATAATTCGAACCTGGTTAGTGACGTAGATCACTCTCCGACATATTTCTATGAAACAATACAAAAATTCCGTAACTATTTCTATTCTCATTTCTGTTACTGTAACTGTACACGGTGCTGAAATAGGAGAAAGCATCACTTTTGGTCACTATAATAAATCCGCCGGGTACACATTTTTGATTTTTGCACAATGTCATCATGAATTCTAGATTTTTTGCACAAGGTCCTCTGAACACTTTTAGAAGATTAATCCCGAAGCTATTATCAGTCGAGTACTGCTAAACTGATTGTTTGCAGTTTTTTTCAACGAAATTGCGGCCAGATATACTTTTGCGTCGGTGGTACCATAACCGCTGATGGTTCTAGTTGGTCGGACGAGATTTTGCAGAATTTACTGACTTTGCAAAAATTCATTCAACCACTCCATACTTGCAGTCTCCATAGGAGGCTGCATTTTCTGTCCATCGATGGGTAAAGACCACTTAATAAAATGAAAGCTGGATTAAATTATCGGAAAAACAAGTAATGTTGCAACTTTCAGCGTTATCTTTTTGCAAATTCGTAAGCAGGAGGTAAGCTGATCGACCACCAAAGATCACAATTTGATCAACAAAGTGATAAAAGCATCAGACCTCAGCGTCCGTACTGGTAATTTCTATTGTTTCCGATCATAAGGAAGAACTTTGTACTCTGTCTAGTTTACAGTCTGGGGCATCTAGGCCTATCTCGATGTCTCAAGCGTGACACCGCCCCTACGCAAATGACGGCACGCCGATATAAATAGGGCCAGAAAGAGCAGGGATCCCAGGCGTTAGGAATAACATTCATTGGATCGCACGTGGCCTTCGTTATTAATGTTGTTTATGCTTTTTTGTAGGAATTGTTGAACATACTATCACTATTTATACAGTTTCATACTTTGTTCTATCGAAATCTTCATTCTGTTGCAATAGCTGCAATCAAAAGTAACATTTGCAGAGAACACATCGAAAATGTCGTCAAATTTACCAAGACTTGCTGTTCGCCAAGCGACAACAATCAAAAATAACCCTTATATGAGTACTCGAGAAACGTAAGTTCTTAAAATCGTTGAAAATCTCGGTCAAGGTCTAAAAATCAAGGTCTTAAAACTAGCATTTTACAGAAGCGATGAAGCAGCAAAAGCACCAAACAACGATCGAGTAATTCCAACTAATACAGTGAAAAATGGCCCTGAACCAGTGCCTGTGGAAAAAGAAGGATTTTCTATTGCCAAATTCTTCGGATTGAGGTGAGCACAAAACGATCAATCTAGAGGAT